GAACGGACCAAAATAGTCAACACCTACTCTTGTGAATGGAGGGTCATCAGGCAGGACTCTGCATTTTGGTAGGTCTGCCATAAGTTGTATGCCAGGGGTTCCGTGCAGCCTTTTACATGTAATACACTTACTTAGAAATCTTCTGATGGCTCCATTCGCTCCAGGGATCCAGCACCTCTGACGCAGTTGAGCCAGCATGTGATTTCTCCCAGAGTGAGCGGTATACTCATGAATATGTCTCAGCACGAGTTCTGTGATGTGGGAATGTTTTGGCAAAATAGCTTGCTGTTTTGTGTCATCAGGCATGACTGCCTGACTTAATCTTCCTCCAACTCTTATGACTCCATCTTGAAGTATTGGAGTCAACTTATACAGCGAGCTATTCTTCTTCACCATCTGGTGTTTCTCAAGCATTGAGAGGTCTTCCTTGAAATGTTGTCTTTGACAGTACTTTATGATCTCATTTTGTGCTTCAGTTATGTCTGTACAGGACACAGATGATCCTGCGACTATTTCCTTACACTGTGGCCTTTGGCCTTTCTCACTGGAAGTGGTTAAAGTCTTTCGGTACACAACCAGTTTCTTAAGCAAACCTTTTAGCTTCAAAATCCATGCTACAGCACGCTTTAACATTGTCCAGGTTGAATAGTGGACCATCAATTGCTCCATCGGATCTTTAGATTTCTGTATCTGGTTAACATACACCTGTTTCTTTACCTTGATTTCTAAATCGTCAACTTCCAGCATTTTAGGATCAGGATTTTTTGGCCACTGATCTTGAGAACCGACCAAGAACCCTGGTCCTGAGAGCCAACTGTCACATTTTAAGAATGCTTCGACTGTTTGTCTTCTAAAGACATGGTCTGCTGGGTTCAGAGCGGTATTGACATATCTCCACTGAGAAACCTGAGAGTGGCTTAAGATGATTGAGATCCTATTAGTGACAAATGTCTTGAATCTCGTGCCTTCACTGTTCAAATACTTTAACACGGCGGTGCTATCAGTCCAAAAAATTGATTCGTGGAGTTCTAGCTCCAGCTCTTTCTTCAAAAGCATGTCCATCTTAACTGCGACTGTGGCGGCAACCAATTCCATTCGTGGTATGGTAGGTAACTTCAAGGGCGCAACCCTAGCCTTTGCTATTACCAGGTTAGATTGGACTTTACCACTTGCATTGTGTAACAGTAGGTAGCTTGTCATTCCATATGCGTCTTCGCTAGCATTTGCAAAATGATGCAGCTGTGCAGAGACTGGCACACCAAACTGTTCTGTCTTGATGCTTCTGTTGACTTTGAAACTTTCGAGATGTAGTAAGTCTGAAACCCAACTTGTCCACTTCTTAGCGATTTCATCAGGTAATTGTTCATCCCAGCCGTGCTTTCGCCGGCACAATTCTTGCAGAATCTTTTTGACTGGCAAAATTACTGGTGTTAGAAATCCCATTAGATCAAAGATGGAACTGACGAGGGAAAGCAAACTCCTTCTTGTATAGGGTCGATCTTTGAAGTTGATCTTGAACTCGAACTTGTCTGATTCTGCACACCACTGCATTCCCAATGCTCGTTCCATTGGTAAGTTTCCTTCGGCCAGATCTAGATTTTTAAACCCTTGTGCCCTTTCTTCTTCAGGAATTGAGTTAAGTAACTTTCTGCTGTTACTTGACCATTTTGTTAGTCGAAATCCACTCTTTGCTAACATGCTTCTCAAGCTGGTGCACAGGGTCACTGCTGCATCCTCATCCTTGATTGACTTGAGACAATCATCCACATAAAAGTTTTTCTTGATTGTCGTGGCTGCTTCTTGACCAAATTCTTCCTCGTAATCCGTTGCACATTTCCTAAGTGCAAAAAACGCTACACTTGGTGATGATGTAGCGCCAAAGATGTGCACTGGCATTTTGTGTTCAACAAGCTCCTGCTCGTAATTCCCGTCAGGCCACCATAGAAACCTGAAGAGATCTGTGTCTTCGTTGATAACTCTGACCTGATGGAACATAGCCTCAATATCAGCCATGACCGCCACAGTCTCCTGTCTAAACCTTAGCAGAACTCCCACCAATGAATTTGTTAAATCCGGCCCTTGCAAGAGTTGCTGATTCAATGACGTTCCTTGAAAGCTTGCTCCGCAGTCAAAGACAATGCGCAGTTTTTGTTTGACTGGGTGTCTGACTCCATGGTGAGGTAGATACCATGTTCTTCCTTCAACTGGTTTACATTCAGCACTGCTGAGTTTAGTGGCATACCCCTTTTTAAGGATGTCTTCCATATATGCTACGTATTCTTCATAAAACTTGTCATCCCTGTAGAATTTCTTCTTTAAATTTAAGGCACGTTGCTCTGCCACTATGCGGTTATTTGGCAGGCATACTTCCTTATTTCGTACAGGAAGGCAGACCTTGTAATGGCCATTCACCGTCTCTATTGATCGGGACATCATGTTAAGAAACTGATGATCTTCTTTGGACATTTCTAGTTCTTCTGTTTTCCCAGCATCAGGAAAATACTGTTTAAACTGCAGTTGCCAGAGCTCTTCTAGTCTAGCTACTGATATTCTATTTGCGGTCACCTTAGTCAATCTGGTTTCTTTCATTGTCTCACCTTTAAGCGGTCCATTAACTGTCCAACCCAACATTGTCTTCACCGCATAAGGTCCATTATCCACACTGCTTACCACTTGCAGTGGTTCCATTGCCTTTGGGACATTTGCTCCTATAAGCAATCCAACCTCTGCTTGAATATTAGGCAGATTTACATCATTCAGATAAGGCCACCTGTCAACATCCTTTTGGCAGGGAATATTGTCTTTGGTTACGGGAATTGATTCTTGAGTATACACTTCTGAAAGTTCAACAAACCGATCTCCATCCAAGCTACTGACCTCCAATCCAGTCACACTGCAAGTGTTCACAACGGTTTCACTTCCCATTGTTCGCAATGCAATTTTTGTGCTGCGTCCATTCATGTTAAGCTGGTTTACCAGTAACTTCGTTGCAAATGTAGCTGAGCTACCTGGATCCAAAAATGCATATGTTTTCACTATTTTAGTTCCCTTCTGAGCCTTCACACACACTGGAACGATTGAAAGAATACAATCTTCCCTACCGGCCCCTGCAAGACCAAAAGATGCTGTCATTTGCACAAAGGCACTTGATACAGATTGTTGATCACAGGTTTCTGTTGATGTTTCTTCTTGTGGTTCCTTGGTACAGAAGTGTAACAGAGTAGGATGCGGTTGAGAACATTCTTGACACTGAAGTTTGTCTTTGCAGCTACTACTCATGTGCCCATGCTTTAAGCATACAAAACACAGACCTTTATTTTTCAAGAAGTCAATTTTGTCTTTATGTGGCTTGCTCTTAAGCCTTCTACAGACTGTGAGGTTGTGTTGTTCTCCTTTGCAGTACATACAGGGTTTGCTGCTTGCATCCACTGGAGTGGTCTGTCCCTTTGATGTTGCTTGTTTACAGCTTTCCTTCTTACTATTCCTTTCCACCTTTGAATTAACAACATCCGTGGTGAACACCTTCTTTAGTTTTAGAGTTTCCATATATGGCGGTTTCATTCTTTGTTTAGGTGAGTCCCTCATGTTCATGGCGGTGTCTTTTATATTTCCGTAGAGTGGGTGTAGTATATACCTAACTTGCTGGTTGACAAAGTCTTTGAACTTAACTCTTTTTTTGTTTTTTTCTTGCAGATCACAAGCATATTTTCTGAAAGCTTCTTTAAGTTTGTATGGAAGCTTATTGACTAATGCTTTAATGTTAGCTGTATTATCCAAGTTTTCCAGATAACTGACATCTGACATTGCATTAAAGCAGCCTGTTAGGAATAATGCAAATGACTGGAGTGCAGCGCCATCTTCTGGCTTAAGGGTCTGCCATTCCAAAGCCTTGTTTATGTAGGCTTCTGCAATCTGGTAATCATCTCCAAAAAGGTCTTTCAGCATTTGTTTGACTTTAGCGTATC